ATACTTAAGTAAATTTGCTGGTGGAACTCAGCAGTGTTCTCCTCCTGCTGTTTGGGGTCCATCTCTTCAGGTAGGACAGAGCAAAAGATGAATGAATGAGTACGGACGTTGTTGAGTTCTCTCTTCTTGTTTCTAATTGAAAAGATTTTTCATATATTCATGTTTTTCAGCAATATTACATGAACTGCCTCACAGATACATTGCCTACTTTTGTATTAATTGGATTTAAAATTTTAACCATAGCATTGGACCTTATCATTTTTCCTTATAATCCTATTGTTGTATTTCCACTAAATGTTCATTATATAAACAGTTTGGTTCAGCTCGTATTGCATTAAGATACAGAGGTGACAAAATCTCTTTTTGAATTTCCTTTTCTGGTTTATTCGATGTTTTCCATGTGTGCGAGGAGTTTCTTCTCTTGGAAAGCTTAAAATCAGTCAGAAACTGCTGCTTTATAGGCCTGAAAGCCCATTGTGTCATTATATACAACTTATCTTGACATTTCAATTTAATTTGCAAGACAAAGTTTAAAACAATAAGCTCCAATTCCTGAATCATAACTAAGACCAGCACATATATCAAGGACTGAAAGAGCCAACACAACAATGTTAAGAGAGCTGGATACGTGTATATTTTCCCACGAGTCCGCAATATTCGAGTAACTTCAATAAAGGAAGCAGCAGAACCAAAAAATATCTCTAGGTAATAACACAGGATGAAAACATACATTTCTAGCAAAAAACTGCAATATCCAAGAGTCACTATTAAATCAAAGACACCATAAATACAAAGAGTGTGAGGAACCAAATGAGAACTGAGGTTTATTTTCTTCAAGTCATCAGAATCAGGTGGAAGCACAATAGATAGGGAAGCTATAAGGGAGGAAAAAGTGTTTCTCCATGACTTCCCCTCCATAAATAAAGTCTCACTGAGAACACAAGCTTCATGTATTAAAGTGTATAAGGGCCTATGTCTGCTGCTTACCTCCCGTGCTGTGTTTGATTTAAACTTTAATGACATTTGGACAGATTAAAATAACCTATATTCAAAATTACGGCGTAGCTCACTAGATGTGATGATACAATTTGATGAGCTTTCCATTTCTTAAAAAGATGTTCCTTATCATCCTGTGTCTCGGTTTCAGGATTGTTCATGAGGAGCCTCAGTTATTAAATAGTGTTTGTTTACATGCAGTGGAAAAGGGAGTCAGTGGGTCTTCTCTGCGTCCTCTCCTGATGGCCTCAACATGCTCTGTGTCTCTTTTCTCCTTTCATCACCGCTGCCCTCAGGGCTCCTCCTCACCCTCCTCAACTCTTCCATCTGTTTCAATTAGCGGGAGTGCGGGGTGGAGCGCTGAGGTCTATCGCACAGAGCTGCAGGTGCACCTACAGTATAGAACGCAGCTGACAACCAAGAGTCACTCTGTGCCTGTTCGGGGTTACGGTGTCTCAGGTGAGACTATGAGGCGGTCTTTGCTATAGTGGGGAGCTGCATCAGACAATCAGAGCCGAGACACAGTCACAAGCACTATCCACCCACCCTCCTACTTATCTATTCCAACCCTCACCTAACTCCCTTGGACTTCCCTCCTGCATCGGTGTGTCTGCTGTGCATGCATTGAGTGTGGTAGTGCTCCTATTCACCTTGGATGAGCAGTGAATGTGCCTCTCTGAGCTTAATTCTGGTGTTCCAGTATTATCGAGCACTCTGCACCCTGATAAGAGCTACTCGGGGATTTTATTCCATCTTTACAAACTATGTTATTGGTGAGACAGACAACCTTGTCTTGTTTTACAGCATGTGGATCCGCTCGTGCCTTGTGTTGTATATTGTGGCAACACACAGGTGTAATTTATCCATAAAAAAAACATTTAATTGGTTTGTATCTAGTGGAGTAGTGAGGACATCTGGTATGTAGGCCTTTTTCTGTCATACTTTGTACAAATGAAGTGCTTTGTTTATAAGGAGGGTGGGTGCTGTGGAATGTGCTGAACCTCAGCATTGTGAATCATTGGCTGCTGTATTTGAATAGCTGAATTCTACGTGGACGTGTAGCATCTGTTCCCGTCAGAGTCGTGCTTTTAAATGTGGTCTCGTTAAGAGTAAGGAAGACTTAAAAAGTTCCTCAACAAAATATATGTCTGTGTGTAATGCTCACATGTACTTGGGCCACTTTTTCAGTGAAGAACGACTATGAGAAGGGAAATTATATAACAAAGGTAAACTGCTGTGTAATTGATGAACTACTATCTCTTTTGCCCCAAAAACTGCAATGAATGATCCCCTTATTTTACAGCGTTGTGTGCCTACAACTGGAATTTTTAATTTCCTTTGGTGGAAATGTTAACTGGGGTTTCCTAAACACGAATTAACAAAATCGGTCAGATTGTTTGGCTGAATAATAGTGTCCTTTAAACCTGGCTTTTCCCATTTTACATAATTACTGGCTCTCAAATACATCTCTATCACATCAGAAACAGTATCCAACCATTTAAATAAATTGTCAATTGTTCCAAATTCATCATTACCACAATCCTCTGCACTGTCTTCACTCCCTCAAACGGCTCAATCAAATCTACGTCTTCTGATTGAAATAGTTCAATACCCGCTGGACATTGTATTTTTCCCTGTCTGCCATTTTCTCTCCAGTTGTCCTCTGGCCTTGAATCTTAAGATCCCAGTAGATCGGTATGTTAAAAGTTCAAGACCTTCTTCAAAGGCCCGAGGTTCCAGCGGTAACTATTTTAGCTGCTATGTAGCAAAACATCCCTCCTTGCTTGCAAGAGGCAGACAGTCCTTCAGTGGGGTTTGTGACTAGAGGGTAAAATCATGTCATGGCTCCAGTTTTTGAGTTTTTTCAGCCCTCAAGCCACGAGAGTTCAGATATTTTTTTACATATAAAATATTTACCAGGTCTTTTGAACCGTTGCAAGTTGAATTGGCCACTTACTTTCAGATGCTTCGGGCGGAATTTGAACTGATCGGTTTTATAATTATACATACAGTACAGGTCCAGATGTCTGCCAGTCTGTGTTCCCACTCCCGCACAGAAGCAGGAGACTGAGTCATTTCAGCCCTGAATCCATCTTCTAGTTCTTAGCAAAAGGCTCACAGGCGGCTGGTAATGTAGTCATGAAGGTGAACAAAAGCCTTTAGATCTGTACATCTGTGTGCCCTGCAAATATTGATCGTGTTACAGCCTTCTACAAAGGGCTCTCTTTGACCCACATGCTCCACCAGTGAAATAAAACTGAGGACCTCTACGTTTGGGATTGGCCTAACGAATGGCAGTCAGGTCAACCAATAGGCCGCGAGGGATGAGTGATAGAGGATGTGATACCAGCAGAACAGAGGCAGATGCTCTTTTGACTCCCTGTCAGACAGGGAGAGATGCTAATGACATTCTCCCTCAAGCACTGAGGAGATATATAGAGAGAAACACTAATGACTCTCTATCTCTCCGGTCACTAGCCGGTCTGCAGACAGCTTGTTAAATCTCACAGCAGACCAACAAGCTGTTATTTCGCATGTTTGGAGGCAACTACACACAGAAAATGTCTGGCATTTAAAAAATGTTTGTGCAATTAACAATGTCTATGATGACAATTTAGACAACATGGCAACATAGTGGGCATTCTCTGTGAGCGTCGTACCAGAGCATGGTTTCATCCGTGCAAAACAACTTTATCGTTATCTATATCATTAAAAATATGGTTTGACATTTGCTTTCTTGTTGAGTTATATGAGATGGCGAGGGAATGACCTGTCCTACTCTACCTCTGATTGGCTGGTAAACCAATCAGAGTCAGGTCATGCCATCGCCATATAGAAACACAAAACATTGCATCTTGACTGTAAGTTTATCTTTAGCATACAGACACAAGAATAGTATCAATATTCTCATCTAACTCTTGGCAAGAAAGCATCAAAAAATCGCATTGCCCTCCTCCTTTGAAATGAAATGAATGAGGAAGGGCAAACCACAGCGTGTTCTGTATTTTGCAGTTCAACCAAGGAGGATGCCTTTCCAACTTGTTAACTCCCAAACTAATATCTGTCATTGTTAATGTGGAAAGGCAGAGCAATTGCCTCTATTACAGTCTCTTCCTCAGAGAATTCTTCCTTGATTAAGGAAATGATCATGCCCCAGTGTGGGATACAGATACCAGATATACATGTGCAGGCTCACACACACACACACACACACACCCACACACACACACACACACACACAAAAGTTACTACTACTGGACCGTCAGTCATCAGAGTTTACAGAGTAAACAGAGAAATTACTCACTAAGCTTCTGCCAGTTGTAAAGCTGTTATTCAAGGTGTATAAACATCCATGTGACTTATCTGCATATTTGTGAAATTGTAGGGTTTACACAACATTGTTATTCTCAGTTGCCAAGCAGTTACATAATCCAAAAAACAAAAACAAAGCTAACAACAAAGAAAAATTGGATGGCTGAGCAATATTACAAACCTCCTCATCTCTAGAGAAGATTTCAGCATCATAAAAAATACAGGCTTTATCTAACTCTTCCCAGGTTTCACCATCTTTTTTTCCTTCTCAATAATAAGCATTTAGACTTCATAAAGAAATATGTCTCCCTCCGCCTGGTACGGTGTTTCTGTCTCTAGTCATGAAGCTTCAGGGGAATTCTGAAGCTCTTCCTCTCTGTCAGAGATGCCTACAAGGGGAGCCACCGTAAAGGATGATTGACTGTTTGTCTCTAACCCCTATCAAGGATGAGACGAGCACTTTGGGGCGAGAGTCAGACTCATCTGTCACTTTCAGATCCCCTCTTACCCTCTCATACGCATCAATCCCTTCCCTGCTGTTACGCTTTAACAAACATGCGATGGGGCACTGCAAAAACACCAAGACTGAAGTCAATGAACTTATGGGCAGTCACTGGATAAACACTGTGTGTGTGTGGGTGTGTGTGCTCACAAGAGCCTTTTTTTTTGTTTAACATTGTTTTGAGAAGAAATTAGACACTGACACTGAAATTCTGTCCAGCTGGATACTGTAGCTGTAGAAATTAACAATCAGCTGAGGTATTGTTGGAACAAGAGTGTCCTGAGTTGTACAGCTGGGCTGCCTCTGTGAAACATCTGGAAGCAAACTGTAAGTGCTCTTTGATTGAAGTATATAGTTTTTGTTGGACAGAGCTGTGATGGAGTGGAATTATTTTTTTTCTTAACAAATGGGTCAGCACATAGATGACCCGGAAGACCTCAAAACATTTTAATGTGATGTATTTGTAAAGACTTATTTGACATTTCGCCTCTTCTTTCAACAGATAGTATCTGATTAATTTTCCTCTCAACAGATAAGATCGTGTCTTGAATGTGACACCACACAGAAGCTCACAGGGTTTAGAGTTCAGGGCTTTGATTTAGTCATTTAAATAATTTATCATGGAGATTAAAGGGTGCTGGGGATTAGTGAAACAGCAGCACATCATGGAACCATGTCTGCTACAAAATTGCATTCCTATAAAATTAAACTGGACTCTCAATTAAGTTTTGAGGAAAACACATTTTCTACGGGATTACGGTGGCAGTATTAAACAATTTAAAACACGCTGTCAATCAAAAACAATAAGACAAAAAATCGTCTGGAACGTTTTTCTAATTGGCTTAAAAAGACTACAAAATTGAAACAAAACAAAAGTACACCGCTCACATGGGAAACAAACCGTGTGTGCAGGGCTGTATCATGAAATGGTCTCTGAAGCGTCACCACTATTATGATCAGCGGAGACGGTTGTATTCAGATCCTTCATCCTTCAGCAAGTAGTAACACACCAATATAAAATACTGTAAAATAAGTATAAAGTTCTGCGTTCAATTCCTTACTTCAGTGAAAGTGAAAGATATTATACAAGAAGCTGGACAAGATGGTTAATAACAAATAGTTTAATCTCAGTTGTCAATAATAATTCACCCAAATGAGAACAATGCATAATACAGTGAATAAATTGAGGTAGAACCAGAGGCCATTTATCTTCTCTCTTGCATTATATCACATATTGCAGAATCACCAGTATATAGGTAATCATAGGTAATGCATCGTTAGAAAATGGCACGGATGGCTACACTCTTCTTCCTCCCTGAAATATTCATCATAACATTATTGGTTTATGTGTTAGTTTTGCAGGTTCATGTGAGCAGAGTCCCAGCAGCATTAGCAGTTGATTCGCGAAGGTCATGTCAGAGCCTTTTAGCTGAGTTCTGAGGTGTTTAGTGTCTCTGCTCCGGTTCACCCCTCCTGCTGATCTAATCGTCACTGTAATGGCAGTGTTGACTTTGCCGCCGGCTTCACTGTCTGTCTCACTTTCACCGCCATTTTGTCTCGCCGTCTCTTTCTCTTACTTTACGTGTCTGCCCTCTATCCCTCCATCTTCCAAGGATTGATTCAACATCTATTTTCCGCCATGTGTCTTTTCCCTTCTCTGCTCCATCTTGTTTGTTGTTGTTACATTTAACGGTAATGCAACTCTCACTGGCCACTATGGACACGGCCTGTCAGTGGTAAAAGTATAGTGTTACCTTTGAATTGGCAGAGCCACTCATTCTATATTTCACACCAATGCTGGTAGAGGTTTGATTACAATCTAATAATTGTGCATGTAGGTCGATAAAACAGGAGATTTAATAAAGCCATTGATTCGTTTTGTAATTGAATTGAATTGCAACCACCCCAGCATTACATTTCACCCAGATCATCATAAAGCAATATGCACTGAGCGCCTGTTATTGGGTAACTCAAGGCCGCTTTCATGGCAAACACTCAAACTCTAATTGAATGCAATGTTCTCAATCAGAGCACCCTTGCATCGACCATGTTGTTGTGTGGTGGAGCAGATACATGTGCATGAGTGACATGAGTTGTAGTATAAAAACAAATTAACATGTTACCTAGCTTAATGTTTAACAAAACCTGAGCAAACAAGGGGTATGCCTTGAAACACATAGTTCTAAATGTTAAGCCTTCTGAGGCATATTGTGATTTTATGCAATACAAAAAATAACTTTACTTGACTTTAGTCAGGCAATGGAGCCCTCTAAATGTCGGTAATGTCAAAGATGGAGCCAATCAAGACAGACCCACCAACCTGTCCTGGAGGAGAACAGGCTTTATAGATTGCTGCCATACCCTTAACCTGGCGTCCATGGTGAGTCAGGCAGCAGCCAAGCAACAGGGTTCTACCTATTCTATTCACACGTTTGCTTTAAGTGTCTGAAACCCTCTCAAGGTCCGTAGTTAGCACTGAGACAACTATGGCATGCTGTGAGGTGTTGTTTGCCTGCTTAAAGCTCTCGTGTATAGCAGAAGGCAGGTGAGGAGTGGCTGTTTGTCCCTGACTGCTTTGTCAAGTCCAAATGAAATTATCCACTCAGTCAGGCTTCTTCAATTCAGAAATAGAGAGGGCTCTTGGATTAGTGGCAAGGCATCTTCAACTCTGCAGCTCCAATTTAGTGGATAATTTCATTTTGACATGATGTTGTACCATCGGGATGAATGACGTTAATACCTGACCGCTTGTGTTTCATTGGTTCATTATTATCACTTACAGACCTGTAGTTGGGAGAGGTTTTTGTGATTGCATCTTACAGTGATGGTACTCTGCTGAAGCCAGTCTTGTGTCAGTTTTGACTTAGTGACCTAACCGCTCTGTGGTCTACAGAGACTGAGAGAGTTTTGTGTCACAGGGTTGCATTATTGGAGTGAGCTTTATTACAGGGCTTTACACTAAGCACTTTAACTATGCTCACACAACTAAGGCAGCAATATCTATTCACTCTTGTTTTTAGATGGTTGACTTTTTCATCCATCCATTGCGCTCTTATTAGCAGCCCCCAGCACTCAGCAGTGGTTAACTCAATTAAGTAGCTCCGTTGTAATCCGTGAGAGCTGGAATGGCAGCCTGAGCTATCATGAAGCTGATGGAGGACTCAGTCCTAGCTATAACCTGCTGTTTACATGCAGAAAGAGCTGGCCTCTATGGGGTTCGGCTCGGAGGTGGACAACATGCACAGTTGGACATTGATTGAGGAGCTGCAATTTACATGCTGCACAGATGTGGAACAAGGTCTCTCTGCTTCTGCTCCTGGGGGATGTTGCCCACAGAAATAGGATAGAGTGCGTTTGTCTGCTGGGATCCAACATAGACATTAGTAAACGGGCAGAATCAGATCTGTTGGAGGGAAAGAATATACAGCCAGGTAAGCATAGAATTAGACAGAAGAACAGACAGACAGATGGCAGTCATGCACAAATGTGCACACAAAGACACATTGAGTGGAGTAAATGCAATTACAAAGAACCACAGGGGAGCATATAAAACAATACGGTTATTACACTTTCATTATCGGCAATATCAACATTGCTTGGCCATAGGAAATGGGGTAATATGATTATAACAATGTGAATTTGATGATTGCAGTCTCTTTCTGATTGAACTATTGCGTTTTGGTTTGATACAAATTGGCCTAACCTAATTAACAGTGTTAAAACTGAGTTCTGAGGGTTTGTCTTTGAAGTCCTGCCCTCTGCATACAGTTAGAAAAACGTGTCTCATGTGTGGAGCAGTTCCTTCTCTCCGCTCTGTGCCTTGGTAGCGCACTCGCTCTCGTCACGATTCAGCTGTTGGCCAAAAACAAAGAAAACAGAGAAACTCATTACTGCTCTTCTGGCCTTCCAGTTTTGTTTTTTTCAAGTCTGCAAAAACATTTCAGAAATAAATACCACATGTGTGTGTCTGTGTTTGTGTGTGGCTGTGTGTATGTATGAATCAGTGATGCTTAGTGCCGTCTCATAGGAACTTTAACAAGGCCTCATAAATCTGCCGCAGCTACGGGTCTTTGGCCTTGCCCAATTATGGATTAGCCTTATTTTATGTCATTGTCTGTTTTCAACCAAATCTATATAAACATCGACTTTTGCCTTTGTATTAGTCCTGGACCCATTGAATTCTATAAACATTTTTACATCAAGGGACTTACAACAGGCTGATGCATGCATGCAAAATGCTTAGCTTTAGATACTGAAAGCCATATTTGGGCAAGGCTAACACACTCCTACCATCCTGATTAATGTGTCTCTGTCACATCTCTTAGATGTATTTCTCTTTATCAGATCTTGGCCCAAGTTGTGCCCTCATTGTCTGTCTCTGCTTTGCCAGAAGTGGCCACTGGACAGACATAGCCAGGCAGAGGGCCAGACAATCCCTTTAGAGGCAGCAGATCTCTGGCTTCTCTTCTCCTAACTCTCAGTGGCTCAACACCACCAAACTATCAGCCAATAACTCTATGAGGAAGGCTGATAGGAGGAGTAATTAGTGCTCGGCAACACTTTGATGGAATTCTTTGTGTGTGTGTGGGGGGGTGGAAGAGAAGAGCGACCAAGGGAAGGACAGAGAAATAGAGAGAAAGGGGCTCATCCTTGTGGAGTCACAGTGCCCCCTCTACAATAGAAAATCAAGAAAAGTGATTGCATGTAAGGGTGGTTTTCCAGACCTCATTAGCAAAATGGTTTCCAATGGGGTAAAGGTTACGAATCAAAATTCAGGCCAGGGTCTGCGGGTATAGGTAACACATGCAATCATGATGGCTGCTGTGAGGATTCGGGCTTTGAAAGTGAATGAATATGAAAAGAATCCTCTTGTATGCATATCTGTGCATGTATGAGAGTGTGCGATCAGCTGCACGTCTTCCCATTGACCTCAGTATGTAGTTTGCTTTTTAGAACAGATGGTCCTGGGAAACTTTCGCTGCTTGTATAGGTCAGTGCTTGCTGTGTCTTTTATTAAGTGCGTCCTTCAGTCTGTTTCTGTCCTCTGAATGTCCTGTACAGCATTTGTTGCTAAGTGACAGTAAGGTCAGAGCATCACTGCTGTTAAATACATTCTCAAATCCTATACTTGGACTTATTATACTTGGTAATGTGAGAGTTGCAGAGATCTTTGGTGATTTTAATCCCATGAAAATATGTAAATCTCTAAGATAAAAATTCCAACACAAATGACCAACCCCACAACTGGAGTCCGTTGCAAAACCTGTGTCTGTGAAAGTCATTGTAGTTTCATCTCTATTTGGGTTCTTTTATTTCTTTTACATTAC